AGCTGACTGCCACCTCTGTGTTTAAAACAACTGTCCCAGACTTCTTCACAGATGAGGAAAAGTAACAATTTAAGCCATAGCTATTAAATTCCTGTAGAGGTGCTCCAAAATTTCTATTTCAACTCTGCTTTTACTCTTACAGACTCAAATAAAGTAAATCAATTGCAGAAGAACACCAGGCTTTTGTTTTCACCCAAATTCCATTAAAACACTTGATAGATTTCTCTTCCTTCCACCATTTCACTTCCTTCCAGGAAGGAAGATAAAAGTCAAACCTCTGCCATCAGGTGGAATTACATTTTTCCAGACAGCTCTATGGTGGTCCCAGTCAGACCCAGTAACAACACAAGGAATGTAGACAGCAAAGAATTTAAACATTTAGCCATTGGAAAAGTCTTAGTTTCTTCTAGAGAGCAAAACTTTATGTGATGAAATGGAGGCATTTATTTAACACAGTCAACAACAAAGGGATTGAAATTTGTATTGTTTTCACTTACTGTCAAAAAAAGGGGAAAGAAAACGTGAATTTTCATTCAAATGTATTTACAAAGATGGTTTATATTATTTACTAGAGATGAGAAAATTATACTGAACTGTTCTGATGAACTGAGAAAATTATTCAAAAGTACGAAATTTGTCTGGAGCGGGGATTGTGATTGAATGATAATGGTTTATGAAGAGATAAAATCATGAGCAAAAAGAAACAAAATCACTAATCTGCTGTGGATATATACAGGTAAAAATGTAGATACAAATGTAGCTATTTTTTTTGTGAAATAATAATTAAAAAAATTTTTACTAGAAATTAAAAATATTTTTACTGGAAATAGGAAGCTGTTGTATACTACAAATACACATTAGAGCTATGCATGTTTATTGATGTAATTTTGAACCAGGACCCAATGATGATTTGATATTTAGAAGTGGATTGTGATACACTTTTTTTTTGTGACTAGAGGTCCCTTGGATTCCTGTATAGTCGGGTATAAGTCTGCTTGGTGGGGGAAAGCAGTTTGTAGAAATTGCCAAAGATTATATTCTTTCTTTTTCTACATCATAATTTGGACAAACATTTATTTTAGGGGACGATATGCAAATGCTGGAAATGTGGGTGAACTGACCTCTTTTGCCCTAGATTTGCCTTCTTCTGCCTGGTTGTTATTTACATCAGGGTAGGAGTCACACAAAAGGTAGAAAGCTCTAAAATTACAGTGTGTTGCCTCATTTCAATCAAAATCCAATCTAAAATCAAATTCCCCTGTATGTGACATCCCCCAGCTCTTCCCTCCTGCCTAGACAAAGAGCACCTGGGGATCGTGGACTCTCCTCAAACCCAGCGCTCGGCTTTGCCGCTCCCGGCCGTTTGACAACTGACCGGAGAGCTTTCCATGATGGAAAGGGACAGTCACTGGAGCAGAATTGGCAGAGACAGTTCTGGAAACCCTCAGTGGAGAGACCAGACGAGTACCTTGAAATGTTTCTTGTGGGCAGGTGCAAGGAGCAGCGTGAGGGTCCCCCGGGTCCCGCAAGAGTGAGAGATGCTCCTATGCAGAGTGAAGGCAGGGGCTGTGTCCCAGGAGGGGGACACTCGGCGTCTGAACCTCCCACTCTCCCCTCGGCTTTGCCTCCTCCGGATGCTCTACCCAGCAGAAACGTTACTCAGGGGGAGGAGGGACAGGCGGGAGGTGGAAGGAAAGTTTAGTCTATTTGTAGGGTGAGAAGGGAGGAGGAACAAGTGGAAGGGTATTTAAACAAAGGCTGGTGGGGGAGAAGCGTGACAGTTGAGAGCAGGATGAAAAAAGTAACCACTGACCTATTTTTCTCCAGAGTTTTGGTCCCCAAATGAGAAATGCCATTAATTCTGTGTCTAGGAAATTTAGTGTCTTAATTAGGTTTGACAGGAAAACAAACTATTTTCGTAAGTTATTCTAATTTTATGATGGTTATTATTATCTGATGGCTTTAAAATCATTCATGCATTGCTTTTACCTGCATCTGCAATCACATTTATGCTATGTCTCTGCCTTACAAGTAACCTGTCCAAAGAGAAGGGGACATCTCTTTTCACATCCTTCCTTGCTGCCATTGGAGTGGCTTTTGACTCTTTTCAGCCAGCAGTAAGGCTTAGCCTTGGCAATAGTAGTATTTAGGGAAGGAGCCTTTATTGCATTAACCAAGATGTTCCTTTTGGAGCTGGTAAGAAAAATGACCTTTCCCTGCATCTAATCCAGGCACTAGAGGGCATCCCTCGCCTACAGGTTGCACGAGGATTTGTCCCATTCTGCTGAGCAGTCCTGAAATACTGACTCCATTCTGTTCATCTTCCCACCCGTTGTGCTGACTTATGTGGACGACAAAAAGAGCAGAGCTGATCTGTCAAACAGTTCCTACTTTGGGCTCCAGAAGTCCCTACCAAAGTCACTCAAGATACAACCCGACCAAAACAAGAATAACAATAATCATCCAGCAGAAATGATGAACTCCTAAAGAAATACATTTGCAGAAAACAAAAGGACACAGATTAATTTTCATAAAGTCACTTAGCAGTATTCCCCAAAAAGTCAATTATTTTAGTCTGTTTTAGACAAAGAGAAATATTAGTCATGCCAGAAACTTTTGAGATGGTTTTGGTCAATATACTAATCACCATACAACTAATTTTGTCTTTTCTAACATCAAACAGATATTTGAGGTTGAGCACACTCCCACCTTTCAGAGATATTAAAGGCCTTAATATATTGAAGACTGTGAAGACATTTAATATTAATAAACTTGGAACCATCAAAAGTAATCATGAGTGAGTGACACAATCCTGCATCCTTATGAGAGGTCCACAGTCTATGATTTCATAAGACCAATAAATTATTATTTTCATTTCTCTATTGAAATCACACAGAAAAACTAATGTTGCTTTCTTTATGGGTTCTCTAAACCACAAAATAAGCCTCTGTCCTTCCATTTCTGCCTCCTCCAGTAGCAGGAACCATTAAGGGATGAGTTTCTTTGGAAGAACTGCGATATAAGTTAATTACCCTTGGAAGGAGTATCTGCATGTCCAAAGGGGGAACAGCTTACACAACAAAGAATTCAATAATCACTGCCAATATTGACCCAGGATTGGTTACACAAAGAGAAAATGAGCTTTGTTTTGTCTTCTGTTGGAATGTAAACGCACATCGTGCTGCCATTCTCAAAAATTCCAATAGATAAAATTCATTATTAGCATATCCAGGCAAAAAGGTCTCTGTGAAAGTGAGCGCAACCACCCCTGTATTTATCTTTAGGACTCACAGTAAGGCAGCCCAAGAATAAAAGCAACACCACAGGCTTGATAACAGGTTTACTACTGGCTTTGAATAAAGGACAGGGAGGTGAGCACAGCTCCATTCCTGGGAAACAGGAATTTAATCCTGATTTACAGTAAAGGTACTTTGCCACCAATCCCAGGCCAGCAGCTGGAAGAGGGCTGCCTCACCCTCAGGCTCTTCTGATAAATAACTGGCCACACAATTGTAGAATGGTTTGAGTTGAAAGGGACTTTAAAGACCATGTAGTTCCAACCCCTTTCCTCTCTCCCAGGTTTCCCCAAGCCCCACCCAATCTGGCCTTGAACCTTCCCAGGGTGGGGCAGCCACAGCTTCTGCAGGCAAACTGTGCCAGGGCCTCACCACACTCACAGTAAAGAATTTCTTCCTAATTTCCAAATCTCTTTCAGCTTAAAGCCATTGCTCTGTTTACTAATTAAAAAAAAAACATAGCTATGTTTATTCTTCCCCAGCCCGAGATGCCTGAAGGACTGTGAGGGTCAGAACAGCCCTTGCTCCTCCAACCTGGTACCTTTTCTAAGGTTGTAAATCCATTATGGCTTTCCCTTTATTACAAGCAGGTGTGATATGGACACACCTGTATTTCAAAGCAGCCCCATTGTCGTTCTTTGTGCTCAGTGGCCCCTGAAAATCTCAGTCCCTTGTCAGAGACCCTGAAAAACCTCCAGTGTTGAGGATTCAACACTATTTCTGCCTTGAAGTGTCTCCAGCCTTTGAGATAATAAAAAGACTCAGCAGACAAGGTCCTGAGCAACCTCTTCTGACTGACTCTGCTTTGAGCAGGAGGACTGGACTAGAAGATGACCAGAAGTTCTTTCCAGCCTCAACCTTTAATTAATTCTGTGATTCTGTGGTAATATGAGCTGAGACCTCAGCCTACTTGCCCAGATCTGTATAGACCTTTCAAGTTGTGATCGTGGAAGGCATTGACCTTTAGGATGAGTTGAGTTCTCTCAGCATCAAGGAGGAGGGATCTGAAATTCCCAGAGCTGCTACTTGCAGCCAGACAACAAACTGGGTACTTGTTGGATTCACCCAGAATAGAAGAGATGCAGGTAGAGTTTCTTCCCTTTGCCTGAGGGGTTTGAACCTGCATCTCCCAGCTGAAGGTTTGAAGAGCCTGGCAGTATTTGGTGAATGGCATTTAAACAACAAATAAAGGCCAAGAAAGTATCTTCTGGGCCTGTCTAGAGTTTATCAGAAAAAAGATTTCATTCATTTGTGTGTGGGGGGGAAAAGGCTTGTCTAAATATTTTGCTTTCTTATGGGAGAAAAAAAAAAAAAAATCATCACATTTTTGGATCAGCTCCAGGAAATTCACAAGTTAAAAAGAAAAATAGAGGAAGATAAACAAACCTACTTATAGAGTTGGTATAAGACATTCATCTCTCTCACAAGAACACTTGGATCATCGATTTGTAAGTCAGATCCCAGCACAAAAAGCACAGATCAATGCTGAGGAAACTGCAGGACCAAGACACTTGCTGGGGGGGCCAAGATTTCTCAGAGTGAACTTCCATTTTGTCACTCATTCTGTCTGTGGCTTTAGGCAAGCCAGTTCTCCTCTGTATACAAAATACAGATTATGGCATTTAACACAGTGGCTGAAAAGAGTTGTGTACAATGAAACATTTTAATTATGGTTGTATTGTATTGCGACATTAGAAACCTTACCTTCTACCAAGGAAGTCAGGAGTGTGACATTTGCTGCTTTTCTTCTTCCTGCAGGCAAATTCAGTCCCAGTCTGTCTAATTTTTCTCTCAAGCAGCGTCCTCCATTCTTAGATTTTGCTCTATCATGAGAAAACAGCAGGAAAAAGAGACACTTGTCATACTGCACCTTTTCCCCGTGTTAATATAATTCCAAAAATTGTACACACTTTGTTGACAAATGTGTGGGGTAATGCCTATGATGGTGACATCGGTGGAAAATGTTTCAGATCTGTATTCTTAATGTCCTGCTTGCCCTGTGAGTGTGAGTCTTTGACGTTGGTTCTTTGACAAAGTTAAACATTTTAATGCCTGTCACAGGGGCATCAGATCTTCTGGACAGCTTTCCACCTGGTGGAGCTCAGTATCCTGATTTGGGCACACAGCCTGGGATTACAGTTTCTAAATATAAATATTGACAGTGCAAACATTTCTATCTGATTAGTCAAGCCAGGTTTCAAAGACAAACTAGAGAGAAACGTGACCTTCTAGAATTATATTAAACTGATATCCAGAATGAGTAGATTTTACTCATCTGGCTCATCTGATCATTAAAGGAAGACAGAGAATTACATAAATGTAGATGTCTGTGTGGAACCCAGATCTAACTATCCCTCAATTTATGTAGAGACCTGGGTACTTAAAAATGGTGCCTACAAAGCCCACAACTTACAAGGAAAAAGGATAAGGCAACAGGAAGTGCTGAAGCTAAAATCTCAGCCATCATTGGTTATTTATGCCCCTGTCGCAAACACCTGTGTCTTTGTTCTCACAAAGTGGTTTCTGGTGCATCCAGGTGCTGCTTTTCTACAACAAAAAAATAACTCCAAATGAGATTGAGGGACCATCACCTTAGAAAAAACAATTGCTGAGTATTTAGCACATCTACCTAGATGTTTTAAGTGCAAGTTAAAGTTCCTTCAGGCAGAGGAAGGAACCAAACTTGGAATATCACCGTTTGGATATCTGGTTTTACCCATTAAGAAATACCACAACTCTGGCCATGTTGTTTGTCAGGAGATGTCTTCTGATAAGACCTTTTTCTGAAAAACATTTTGTTCTGAAGGTAAGCTATTTGGGAAAATTCGTAGCCAGTGGCTGCTGACAGGATGCAAAAACAGCCCTGCCAGGTCTCCGGCAAACCATCAATGAGATTTGGTTTTGCCACATCTTTGCTGGTCAAATACAGAGTGTTTGAGTCTGTTCTTTATCTGTGAAACCCTCAGTTATGACCTGACCAAATCTGTTCAGTTACATTCTCTGCTTCGTAAAACAGAATTAGCACATCCAGATTGCTGGCTGGGACTGGTTTTGCTAACTCCTGAACCATGGCCAGGGTTGATTTGGGAAAGGGGGCATTTAGTCTGGGTCAAAAAGTTGTGGATAACATTCTAGCATTTTAGCAGAAGAGAGAAATAACCCCCCACGATGTTCTTGAATCGATGTTCTTGAATTCTCAATAGCTTGCAATGTACTGATGAGGTCTGCAGTGTGAGTTTTTAAAGTGAATATTCGCTGGAGGTTTCTGCAGGGTGAAGCAAAAAGAGAGGAAATTTTTTGTAGATGTAGATTTTGGATTTCAGTGCCTACAGAGGCAGCTAAATGGGGCTTGTGCCCTGAAAAAAAAAAAAAGTTGTGATCTATAGTCATTATTCTCCAGGATGGCTCGAGACAGCTCCTGGAGTCCCACATCTCTCAGAGTACTGCAGGTGGGTTAAAATGACTTTCGGTGTAAGTGCGAGGATCAGTGTGGCCCTCAGTGACAGCAGTGAAATAGCCCATGACTTTCCAGCTAGTTTTGATCAAAGGGTGTTCAAGTAGCTCATGCCATCTGAGCTGACGCCTCGGGGACACCGCGACTCAGATATGCCGGCCTGAATTACAGCTGCCTCCTTGTTTTCCACTTGCAATGTGAGGCACAGTCTGCCTCTCTCCTCATTTCTCTCTGCAGGTGTCTGCTCTGGTCAGCCAAGGGTCAGAGGCAAAACTGCACCTAATTAGTTGCTTCTCCTCCAGTATCTCACAACGAGAAAAGTGAAACCAGCTTGTTCTGTCTTTTCTGTGCTCAAAATACACGCCAAGGAGAAAGGAAGAAAAAAGGCATCCTTACACCTCCATATTTTAGTTTTCAGTTGAATGAGGGCTATACCTTCACTTGGTACAACAATTTGCTTTGAGATAGTTTCTCAGCAAGAAGTCAGATTTTTAGCTCTGGTAAAATTTTCCACACATTTTTCCACACATCAAGGGTCTTTTTTTTTTTTCATTCAAAACAAGGCAAAGCAACACCTTTCCATGTCTGTGAACAACTGAACTGAGGGGTTAAAAAAAAAAAAATCAGTTTGATGAAAAATGTAAACTTTCTCATTTATTGAAAACTTCCCAGTGTTCCCTCCAAATCCATCCCATCTTGTTTGCCCAAATATGACCACCTATGCAAGCAGGGAAAGAGAACAAAGCCTCTTTGTAGAAAATAAAATTACAGAAATGACAGCACTGTCTAGGACAGTTGAAGGACTCTCACCTTCAACTTACCTTCTCAAAATCCCTCCCAGGAGGGAGGCGTTGAGGCATTCTGGGGGTGAAAGGCGCCTCTTCACCTCTGCAATGGTCACTTTGTACTTGGAAGTGGAGCTGAGGAGAGACAAGCGACCGGGGACAGAGCAGAACAGGTCTGTAGGGTTCACAACACAGGTGCCACCTACAAAACAAAAGAAATATTAGGGCAGGGGAAGCCTCATATTCCGTGTTTTGGCAAATGCAATGGTGAGGAACAATTCTGTTGTTTGCTTGTGGTTGGTTTTGTTTGGGTTTGGTTTCTCTTAGGGGGTGTGTGGTTTGGTTTTTTATGGTATTTGTAGTTTGTTTTTTTGTTGTATTGTTTTGAGGAAGATGAATGGATTGGTATTTCAGTGTGGGAAGAGTGAATTGTTAGATCTCACAAACTTTAAAGTCAAAGTACGTCATTATGGCTATTTGATATCATTTGATTTCATGTTCAGTAAAAAGTACCTATTATCACTAGGGTCTGTTCTATCTAGTATGTTTACAAAAATCAGATTGAACCATATTTAGGTATCACTCATGGTTTTAAAAAAGGCAGCTGGTGAAAAATTTAGGATGTTAGTTCTAATGAGAAATGTTAATTTTAATTCTCACAGCAGTATTTAGGATTATGAAGATGCAAGAACACTGTAGGTTTGCAGTGATTTGCAGGAAGAACAGCTTTGCACACCTTTGAACCCTCATAAATTCCTTCCAAAGTTAGGTCAAATCCTCAGCTGATATTAACGATTGAAATCTATTGAGCTACATCAGTTTATCTCAGGTTGGTTCTGGAATTGTTTATTTCTTGAGAGTGGCAATTACTTGGCCTGGGTCTAAAAGTGCTGAATGATCACCAAATCTTTCAGTCAAGACTGTGATCAATAACTCCTCAGGCAAAACTGAGCTTTTAACTTAAAGTTAATGTGAGAGAGAGAGAGAGAGAGAGAGAGAGAAAGAGACGGGGGGAGTAGAGAGAGAACTTTCTCTGCAACGGATCCAGGAGAGTAGAACAAACTCCCATCGAAAAAAGAAATAATCTTAAGGACTAACACATATTTCATCACCAAGTGCAAAACACTTTTCTTTGACCTGACTTCTCCAATCTGACTACAATAAAAAATTCTGTGGAAGAAATAAATCTTACCACTGCATGCACAATTCTTCCCTGGGGAAAAGATGAGGGAAAAAAAAAAAGAATGAGCTGCACATGGCAGTGATATAAAATATCATATAATTCAATGCACTTCTACAAAGAGTTCAGATGGTTTATGTGAGGATGGTGATATAGAGACCCTCTCAGAGCAGAATTAATCGGTGCTTATCATTCATGTTTAAAGGAAACATACTGTATTTTTTAAGCTACCATGATATTTTCTTCTTTCCTGTGAACTCCTTAATCTTTTTTCACTTCAAGAGCTCACTTTTGTATGCTTAAAAATTTTAGTTTATAATCCAAATTATATTTAGACAAGATCCTACACCTTTTTCTTTACCTTCTTCTACACACAGTCCCTCTTAAAATTAAGGTGACTCTGTTTCACTTTCCATAGAAACAGACTGAAGGATGAAACTATTGCTTGCTTACATAAGGCAAACATGATTTCTTTCCAAATATTTCAGCTCTTGGAGGTATATTTAAACATTTGTGCTGACAGCAACACCAGAAAAGAACATCTCTTGGTATCAATCCCAGATGGATGAGATCCTGACTCACTACAGCAGGGTATTTTATGACTTTCCTAATTATATTACAGGGCAGATATTAGTGTCCACTTCTCAAACAGGATATAGAGACAAATCGTGCATCACCAAACATATACAGACATCAAGGGCACTGATGCACATTTTTACACAGCTCAAAGCTTCAATTAATGAGCTCATATGCTCAAATACAGAAATCTGGTGCCACATGCCTGAAATAATTTTGGGTTTGTGTTGTTTTGGTGTTTGGGGTTTTTGGGGGGGCGGGGGGGTTGGTGGATTTTTTTTCCCCCAGAAAACCTGTAAATATTTTCAAGCAACGTTTTCAAACTTCTGGTCTGTCAGGTACATTTGTGAAGAGCGTTAACACTGAGTAGATCCGTTTGTTTGGCATCTGCCACACAATACATGTACACACGTGTATATACATATGTGTCAAGAAAACAGTGGCACTGTGTGCATATTTGTTTACTTCAGGAAGTCTGCAGATTTTACAGTGAGTGAGACTGCACTGAAGTCAGCGTCATATTAAAGTTTATCTTCTTGCCAGGTTAAGTCAGTATGTGCACGCTTTATGCCAGATAAATAATTGTTCCTATAATCCAAAAACCTGTTACCCTGCAGCTGCTCCTACCTTAACCAGAATTTACTGGAACACTTCTCATTTCTATTTAGTAGAAAGTTGCTTACAGTTTGAAATATTTTCAAAAATCATGCCTGAGCAGCGTGATCTCAAACAAAGCAATTCCAGGTAAGCGGGGTGTCGATTAAAAGTAAAAGCAAACAACAAGTCCAGGTCATTTACTTTTCAGAAACATGGAAAACAAGTTGTAAATTATGAGAAGGCAAAATCTATTGCATATAATTATTTCACTGTATTAATTATTCATTGACACAGCAACAGAGAGTGTTGTGGTGCTTTCTAGATGAAGCTCTTTGTCACAAGCTGTGTGTGTTTTTGAAGGCACGAATCTCCTACCACAAACACCACCTCAGAGAGGAGATGGATGATGTCCTGGACTTTACACAACGTGGTAAACAGAAAAAGGCATGGAGGGCTGCTGGAAAGGAAAAGGAAAGGAGAAGGGCAACCACACAGGCAGATGAAGGATTAGGTTTCTTGCTAAACACACATGCTCTAGTGAATTCCTTCCCCCCATATTCTGATCATGTACTAGAGCGGAAAAATGATTTTCTGAAGCAGTGCAGCTCAACATGAAGATGACGAGATATGTTTGAAGTTACACTAAACAGCAGTGGCAACAACCAGCTTTTTTTCCTCTCAGACCAGTGCCACAGTAGGTGCTGTTGGAAAAATCAGTTCTCATTTAATTGTTGAGCCAGTCTTGTGTCATCAGGGTATTTGAGTGGTGGGATGCTAACAGACACAAGGCAAAGAAGCAGAAGAAAGTGTCTTCAAAAATAGAATGGAAATGATGTCTTTTGTTAGTCTAGAAGTTCAACCTGGAGATCTCTGTTCCTCTTAGCAGCTTTTACTGGCTTTTAAAAATCTTTACAGACTAACTTCTGGTGCCAGGATGCATAAAAGCCCCTCAGCTCAGCAAACAAAGACACACACACACACAAACAGCAAAGTAATGTGCCCACCAGTGTACATGGAGAAGGGAAAACTGTGGCCACTGCTCCCTGCCTGGTTACCCACAGCATTGCTCCTATGGCAAAGCTGGGAGAAAGAAATTAGAGTGGGTAGACAGAGTGATAACTGGGAGGATCATCCAGCAAATTGCCTCAGCAATTTTGTGCTCTGAGTACCATGTGAAATAGGCCTGTGAATGTTAAGAAGACTCTTTTTAGGACAACTGTTTATTCCCATAGGGAAGTGATTACATGGTCTGGTCTGACTTCATCTGTTGCCATAAGATACTGTGTTAGAGATGACTGTAAATGGTGATGGTTGTGCTCTTACAGCCACAGAGACCTAAAAGCACAGGAAAGACAAGATTTAGTTGAAGGGAGAATGTATTTTATATTGCAACTGATAGATTAGGAAAAGAAAAAGAAAGAAGGGAAGCTTTCAGGCACGCAAACCCTTTGTCTGGGCTCCTCTTTCATCCAACTCTACTCAATTAATTCTTTCTTCATGAGAGAGTTTTACCCTCTAATCTTTCATCTTCATGTTGATTTTAATAAATATGATTTCTCTCAAGGAAAAAGATGGGTGAGGAAGGGATAGGCTTTGTGCAGCTGACCACATCAGGGTGAAAGACCCCAAACTGCCGTGTACTGAATCACCAAATCACTTCAGGGGATCATATATAACGTGGTCTAGGTGAAGGTATTCCTGCTTATTACAGGGCATTGGACTAGATGACCTCTAAAGGTCCCTTCCCACCCAAAATATTCTGTAATTCTAACCTATGATTATTTTCAAAGGGATCCGATGGAGAGAAATAACGAAAGACTAAGTTCATATTTGCTGGATAACTTTTGGGGCCCAATCCTTTTCCCTCTGATTGCTGGATAACTTTTGGGGCCCAATCCTTTTCCCTCTGAACTGTTTGATGCTCAACACCACAAACTCCTTCGTGTGAGCTGCGCTTTGGCTTTGCTCCCCAAGCCTAGAATAAGCAAAAGTTAGGCCATGTGATACTGAAAAAGGTAGTTAGAGCAAACATTGGGAGAGTATTTTCCCTTCCTTGTTCCTGTCTCCCCATCAAATAGCACATGTCAGTACGAAGTGCCAACACGTGCTGATGATGGGTTGTGTAGGTGACAGCAGCGAGAACAACAGAGCCAAATTCTAACCCCACAGTCTTGTCAGTGCAATGAAAATCCCAATAACCCCCAAATCAAAGAGAGCTTGGGCTATTTTGGTTGCAGGTTCCCTTTGTGTGGATGAAGAGGACAATAGGGTGGCTGGACAGTGGTGATTTATTCTAATTTACTTATGCACTTGGGCACCTACTGAAATGGAAGGCTCCTTGACGCCCTCAGAGTTAAATATCTGTGCATCCCTTAGTTGATAAAACTCATATTCTGACATATTTTTGTACTTTTCATAAGCAGTGTTTTTGTTTTATTTGGAATGAGAGAAATATCAGTTGATGTCACTAGATGGTTCTTCAAATACAAATATTTTTTGAAATCTGTGCCTATAATTTTGTATAGATACATCCTTAACACTCTGCAAAGTCATTTCTTATTTGTTAATCGTAACAGGCACAACATAATGAGTAGTTTACATCCATTCATTAGTATCCCTTTTCTCCAAGATATTCACCTTTAAATATCGTGCATTTATGTAAGGAAACATCATAGTATACTGGTGACAATAATACAGAAGCACTTCTTGTTTTGTTTTTCAGGATATACACGTTTGTGTACTTGTTTACATTATTAAGTATAAGCATGGCTGAATGTCAACAGATTAATCTTATATAAAATATTAATAGCATGCTATGCTTTTTGTTAGTCTATTATTTATATCTACAG